AAATATGGTCATTGAGAAATGTTGTGAATAAATGAGAATGGAAAACACTTGGGACAGGAGAATACTGCAACTGGCTGCCAAAGTCCATAGTTACTTGTCAAGCAAACACTTTTAGTTTGCGCAGAAGAGCACAATTTAGCTAAATGGGCCAGATTAGAGTGAGATTATAGAGTGCTGACTCTAGTGGAGGGGAGCACTCATCACTATAGCACAATAGGGTCCTCTCACAACATACCGGCCAAACTATATTTCAAAAGGCATCCAAGGTTATTGATCTGACATCTGTCTTGTGTTTTAATTAAGAAAACTATACACATGGAGCTAAAGTGTCGAACAAGTGCATAAAGTAATCTTGGTTATGGAGTTTTAAAACACAAACTTCCTATGTATTTCTGAATGGAATAGCCAAGTCTCATAATCTGTATGCATGTTCCAAAGAGTAAGTTATGTTGAACTCAAGAGGATTTGATTTTGAAGAAACTTACTTGGGATTTGAAATTGATATGATGTTTGCCCATTGTAACTGTACTCAATGGATGTCAAAAAGCATTTTTTCCTTTCCTGCCCTCACCATTGCCCCTACTGGAAAGGGCTAATGAAACTTTCAACCTAATAACATCTGGAAGGCCACATTTCCTCATGCTGTTTATTGCTTTTATTGTTTTCTAATAGTGTCAGAAAAATAGGCTATGTCTACCACAGACAAAAGGGGTTCTATGATGCTATCTCAAGTCTGACCTACAAACATAAATGAAATGGAAGAAAACTGAGTGAAAGTTTCAATATAAATTTGGGGATTGCACTTATTTGAACACTCTCTTGTATTTCTTTTTTTAAAAAAAAACCCACTGTCTCTTGAAAGTAAAAACTAGCACATCTTTCTCAGTTTAGATTGGATCTAATTTGCCTTGCTATTCATAGCAGTCAATTTGAGAGTGATTTTGGCACTCTCTCTCTTACTTTTTTAAATTTAAAAAGCAGAAGGCGACATATGTCCTTTTTCAAGGTGCCTTTACGTTGGCCATTGCTTTTTGTTTTTGAATCTCTCCAACTGTCATTCTGGGATGTTTGGAAACAAAATGACAGCTCCCACAAATTATGGTAGCTGTTGATAAGGACCACCATTTGTCTCTTTATATGTCCATGATCCAAACTCTATCCTCTATTTTCTAAATGTATAACATTTTTTTAAAAAAAGTCACTGTTGTGATAAGCCTAATTGTCCCATTTAGAGAAGTTCCTCAATTTTTCTGCCAACTTCTTTGGAATATTGCTGTTTATTTTGTAACTGCTTGGCTGTGATGACATATTAGAAAAGAGATGATGATTCACAAAGGATGTGGGCTGCATGCAGACCAAATGCCACCCTTGTAGCCTTCCAATCTCCACCTTCCCATGCAGAGAAATTCAGTCAAAAATAAGAATTGGTACTCCAGGAATCGTGCAGGATCAGCAAATCTTCATTTAAGCAATGTGTAGCTCCCTATGTCCTGTTTCCCCTCCTAAACAAAAAATGAGTTTTCCAGCTGTTTCCAGTTTCATGGGGATGACTCGTAGGATGAGTGCCGGGCTGGAAAATCCCCCTTTGGAGCTGCCTCCAGAGGACGGTGAGAGAAAGTGTTTGAACAATCCAAGTTTTCTTTATGCATTTTTAAATAAACAAGGAAGTTAATTAAACTACAGAACTGATATGGAGACCACCAACTTAAAGAATCAGCTTCATCAGGTTTACCTGAGAAGAGAGTGAATTCTCTTACTCCATTTCCCTATAGATAAAGAAACAAAGCACCAGTTACTTGGTGGCTTTTTAAAAAATCGAAAGCATTTTTTAAAATGGAAAACACAAAACTTCTCCTTTGACTGGAAGTAGAAATCAAAAGAGCTGTAGATGAAATTTAGTGCCAATCTAGGCAAAAAACTGTAAATGGAAGTCAAGTTAGTGAGGTGGTGAAGATGGAGACCTAACTATAGGACTCCATCTTAGATAGATAGATAGATAGATAGAGAGAGAGAGAGAGCGAGAGAGAGAGAGAGCGAGAGAGAGAGAGAGCGAGAGAGAGAGAGAGCGAGAGAGAGAGAGAGCGAGAGAGAGAGAGAGCGAGAGAGAGAGAGAGCGAGAGAGAGAGAGAGCGAGAGAGAGAGAGAGCGAGAGAGAGAGAGAGACAGACAGACAGACAGGCAGGCAGGCAGGCAGGCAGAGGCAGATGCAGAGGCAGAGGCAGAGGCAGAGGCAGAGATAGACAGACAGACAGACACTGTTGTCTAGTGTCTAATTTCTGGAATTCCAGAGGGTAGCATGTCATGGATCAGAATATGTGGATTAAATCATGTACTAAATATGGAATATGCAGTTGTGAAGAATGTAAAATGGATTCCATAATGGTTCTGTGTATGAATGATTTTGTATGATGGGAATGTATTTCCAGAGGGCTGTGGGAATGTTTTTCCTTTAGGCCAGTACAAGCTAATACAAGATAAGAAGACCAGACACTTGTTATGGCAGATATGACAATAGACTGAGAAAAACGACACCTGTTTCACATGAGAAGAGAAGGAGGGGACTGCTTCTATCACTTCACGCCGTGATTGGGAGTGGGAGACCAAGAAGACAGGAGGAGCCAAGAAGATAGAAAAAGGAACTTTTGCCATGTGCAGTGTTCCATCTTGTTCCTATTTTTCCTATTGGATAGAACCATAGATTTTTCTAGGTCTTTTTGTCTGCTGCCCCATGCAGGGAAAGGACTGGGAAAGATGTAGGGAGTCAAGGAAGAGGAGAAGGGGGGCTTTAAGCCTTTTGCCTAACCTAAGGAAGCTTTTAGAGATTTTTAGAGCTTTTGTAATTAAAAAGAAATCAGTTGCCTTAATTGTAATTTGTAACAAGCCTTGAAAACGCTTTATTGCAATGCTTTTGCATCAGACTGACTTTATTCTGTAAATCTATATTTTTTTCAGTAAAAAGATCAAATACAAAATCTTTTGGTCTTTTGAACAGTGAAGCTGTCTTAGCTATACCCTGAGGGAGAAGCAAGGCCACATTAAGCTACTGAGTCCTACCTAACTGAGCCTAGGACTACAAAGCTCATGAGTAACTTCCTGCTGAGCTTTCTTAAGGGTCAGCAAGTATCTTTTTAGGGCAGACTTGTAAGGAGTTTGTTGTGTGCCCTGGCTGAGGTCACCAGGACTCACCCAGCTGCGTATGGATACTTGGATTTTCAGTTCTCCCTCACAGGAAACTGGGTTGTGACATCTGTTTTAGAAATGCTTTACCTAACATTCTTAATATAATGTTAGTGATTGCTTTAACATTCGAATAATTCTCCATTTTTAGCTTCAGTTTCGTGTTTTAATTGGAGATGGGAGCTGCATATTTGTCTCCCAGGAGAGATGAATATGAAGTTTGCTGGCACAGGTGGCCAGCCCTGAACCAGACGTCCACTTAGCACTCACTGCATGGTGCACACAATCCGTATCATGAAAATTGTGCCAATCGTGGCAGTAGTCCGGTTGGCATTGCCGCACCTCCCTTCTCAGCTGGCCACTGAGCAGCTGAGTAGGGAGGCTTGTCATCTCACCCCTTTGCCAGACTGGCCAGCCAAGCAGAGAGATGGGGCAGTGCCAGCTGAGTGCGCTTTCAATGACACCAGCCGCACATGTCACACGGCAAGTGGTAAGTGGACTCCCAATTTGGCATAGGAGGGTCCAATCAGGACAGCCACTTGATTTAGGACCCTGGTACCTAGCAGAATGCCTGCTCCCAGCCAGATCTGTCCATAACACCTGTTCTTCACAGGCAGGGTAGTTGAGGGCCTTGACCCTGAAGGAGGCCCGGAGGGAAAGAACAAGAAGCTGGGCCTTCTCAGCAGTCGCTCCCTGTCTGTGGAACAATTTGCCTATGGAGAAACACTTGGCACCCTCGTTGGATGGGTTTAAATGAGCATTGAAAACTTGGCTCTCCCATAAGGCTTTCCCTGAGATTTAAGTTGGGGATATCTCTGCTTCACTTTTATCATCCTTTTTGCCATCCTTTCATCATCCTTTCTACCATCTTTATAGCCATCTGTTTTAATTTATCCCACTAGTTATTGTATCTGTTGAATGTTTGTATTATTTTATTCTCATTGTGTTTTAATATTGTGTTGTTTGTCTTGTTGTTGTTAGCTGCCCAGAATGGCTTGGCTGCCAGTTGGTGCGGGGTATAAATCTAATAAAAAAATTAGGATATAAAATTTTCACAGATTTTCCCATCCCTGACAGAAATCTTTGTCTCAGGGCATTAAGATAATCAGTCAAAAAAAATTGTTACATACATACATACATACATACATACATACATACATACATACATAAATGTTTAAATAAATAAATACATAAATACATAAATGAATAATCCAGGTGAGCTTCATATTTAACTCCCATCTCTAGTTTTAATTATGTAAGCTGCCTTACATCCTTTCTTAGGCAAAAGATGGGGTAAAATATTTTAAATAAATAAAAATAATAATGATCGGACAGCCTGTTGAGGATGCTTCTAGAGATCTCACTTCCAGCACAAAAATGAGACATTTAGAAATTCACACAACCCCCCAAAAATCTTGAAAATGTGCAAAACCGTTTTGAAACCACAGTCCAGAACAAAATCTTGCCATCTTATGGTGACGAGAATGTTTGCTTATTTCTCACGCAAGAACAAACCAAGTCAAGATTATATTTATATGTAAAACATTAAATATGTATAATTTTTTCTTCTATCTGCCATATAATACAGGATACTTCTGCACTAATTTCTCATCTGTAGCACCATTGCCTATAAAGATCTAGATTTCAAAGAGGTCCACATTTATTTGGCACTGGCACAGAAAATATATCTTACCAAATAAAGTTGACAGTCTTAGAATTCTTTGGGTGTACTGTGATTGAAACTTCTTCTTCTATATATTCAAAGCCTTGCTATAATATTAAAAAAAGATACAATTTTTAAATTGTTGATTTTGTATTTTCAGATTTAATCTACAGCTTTTTAACAATGGAAAGAAAAGCTACAGAATGCCATCTGACCATGAATCTCAACCCAGAATCATGATTCCGGATTCCTGGTGAGGAAATTTTTCAAAATCTTGATGTAGGTGTTTATATTAAGACTAGAGTATTATCTCATGCTTTGCATGGAGAAATGACAGAAGATTATTCAGCCAGGCATATGTAAAAAAAAATCTCCTGTTTATGTCAATGTATCATTGAACACACTCAGTTGTTATTAAAGCATGTATCTTCAACATTCCTTGGAGAGTGCACACTAGCCTCCCATTGTCACTTTCCTCACATGAAAGCAGTGAAATGAAGAGAGGAAGTTGGTTCTGTTGCTTACTTTCCCCAACAAAAAACAACCTAACAAAAATCAGGGTACTGGCTCTCAAATTCAACAGCCTCCTCGTCTCCGGGCTGTCACTTTTGCACGATGAATGCAAGAATGGAAGGGACAGGGCTAGCATGCTCCCCTCAGTATGTCTGGAGAACACAGGTTTTGAGATTGACTGAATAGGGCTTTTTCATGTTTATGAACAAGTGATGTAACCAGGATGTCCAGTGGTGCCTCGACTTACGACCGTCCTGACTTACGGCCATTTTAAGTTATGACCAGCTCCGGCCGCAAAATTTTGCTTCGACTTGTGACCGGAGCTTTGAGTTACAGGCAGAAAAAAGGCAGGGAAAAGAGCAGGAATTCAAATTGCTAACCATTGGTGGCAAAGAGCCTGCTTCTTTGTAGCACTTTCACCCCAGCAGTTAGAGAGTGTGCATTTGGAGGAGACTTCGGACTGCCTGGTAAGGTGTTGCTTCCTGCTTTTTAAAAACTGGCTGTTCTGGATGAGTTCCCCCCCCCATTTCCAATGGATCTGGCAGGGTTTCTTTGCTTTTTGGTTATGATGATGATGATGATGATGATGATGATGATGATGATGATGATGATGATGATGATGATGATGTTGTTGTTGTTGTTGTTGTTGTTGTTGTTGTTGTTGTTGTTCATTTCCAATGCGTCTTGCAGTCTATCTTTGCTTTTTGGGATTTTCTTTTAAATTTCCTATGGGTTTTGCAGTCTATCTTTGCTTTTGGGGTTTTTCTTTTGCATCTCCAATGGGTTTTGCAGTCTCTCTTTGCTTTTTGGGTTTTTCTTTTTGCATTTCCAATGGGTCTTTGCTTTTTTGTGTTTTTTTTTCTTTAGCTGGAACAGATGAATCGCATTTCCAATGGGTCTTGCAGCGTTTGTTTGCTTTTCTGTTTATTTTCCCCCCTTTGGTTGGAATGGATCTATCATGTTTCCGATGAGTCTTGCAGTGTTTTTTGTTTTGTTTTGTGTTGTGTGTGTTTTTTGGTGATTTTTTTTCTTCAGCTGGAACAGATTAATTGCATTTCAGTGCATTCCTATGGGAAATGGTGCTTCAACTTACAACTTTTTCGAGTTCCGACCATCTTCCAGAATAACTTCTATTCATATATCTGCTTGTTTCACTTCTAAAGCGGAATGGGACAGGGGTGGTTTCCTATTGGGTACAAAAATATAGTTGTGCAATTGAGGAGAATTACATCCTTTTCCTCCCACCATTTTCTTTCCTCTTTTTGTCAAAGAACTTTGCTTTGTAGCTTGACTTTCTTCCAGTATGGAGCTAAGTTGTGAAAAACATCTCTGAAGCAATCTATGCATGGCTTCAGTTTTTCTCCTGTAGTCATAGAAGGTGTCTGTACCTCTGAGGAGACATGTCCTAACATTGTGAGACATGCCTCCTCCCTTCCCCTCTGCTTTGAACTAAACCCAGAAGCATCAGGCAAGGAAACACTGGCCACTTGTAGATTTTTTTCCCTTACTTTTTTTTCTAGAGGGGTGGAGATGTTGAAAAGCTTCTTTCATTTTTGCTGCTTCTTTTGAATGAAAGAAGTGGGTTAGAGGAATCAGAGCAGATGTTTATCTTCCATTAAACTTAAAAGTCCTAAGTGGTTCATCTGTTGATAAAACTGATTACAGTTTGCAGTTCTAGCTTCTGCTGTGTTCTAAAATGAGCTTTCGAGTTACACATAACATCTACTCTGTGCATTTTTGCAGTAAAGATGTAACACGTTAGAGGAAGTCATAACATTTTGTTTGTTACTAACAAGGCAGCTGGAGGGTACTGTGGTAATGCTAAATGCACTGTTGGCAGTTTCCCTTTTTTTGGTGTAACACAACATGTGTTCAATGACTAACATGGGAATTCTGATGTGAACTTTTCTTATATATCTACATTACCTTTTAAGACAATTTATTGTGCTTAGTCCACTTGAATGTCAAGTGCGAGCATCTGTCTAATATTTATCACACACTTGGGAGTCTTTTCTTCTACTAGTTGCCACCTGTTCTTCATTGGACATTATTTTCTGCAATTGCACTTAATTTCAAATCATATGAACATCTAAAGAGTAGTAGCTGTTAAACAATTATCTTGATTCTTATGGCAGTTGACTCTTTTTTGGAAGAGAAGGTCTACTCACGATAGCTGATTTGTAACAGTTCAGTAGCCAAGCTACCACATCACGGCAGTAGTTTCTTTGCCTTTATCAGTTTTAAAGTCAGCTTTCAGCAAACAGAAGTCTGGTTCTCTGAGAGTCTTGTTGATTTTTAAAATATTAAATTAAATGGGCCATAGCATAATAGACAGAGTAGAGGTGCAGTAAAAGGCATCAGTGCAGACAAGAAACAACTGAACTAGGGAAGTAGCCAGTGGACAGATGGCCAGGTGAGCTGGGACATCCTGTCCAATCTTGTCTTTCCTAAATGACCATTTAGTGACACAACAATTGCTTCCGGCTTCTTTTCAGGAGCCAGTTATTGCTGTTTCCTTCTGCTAGAAAGAGGTAGTTATACATAGAGTCTCTTCCATAATGGGTAATCACATGCCGTTAGCCAAACTGTAGTGACTTTTACAACAGAAGTCTAGAATATTTTTTTTCTCCTATGCTGTTTTTCAGTGGATTTCCTGAGGCAATAAATATAAGTTTTTTGTTTAAGCATAACTGCATGTAGAGTAACTTTACTCTGCTAGCATAAATACCATTTACAGTACTCTTATACATGAAACCAAACAATGGAATCACTGAGAGAAATGTTAGCCTTAGCACTTGCCATACATGTTCCTGATTAGACAGGTAATTTTTTTTCCTTACATAAATGAATGTTTGTTACACATTCCTGTGTGGAAGATATTTAGAGCCATCATTAACAGCAATTCCAACAGAACTAGGACAAATGTATAATTGTGAGAGAATGATAATGTGTATCCAGCCCTTCCATGAACACATTACAATGGAATTTGAATTCACTACAAGAAAGCTGCACTGGATTTGGATGGAAAGCCCTTCTTTTATCTTCTCAGAGGCCATATTTGTTTAGCAGGAACAGATGGCAGTACCTACTTTGACCCACTGCTGTTCCTGAAGAGAACATTTCTCTGATGAATGGGAGAAGAAAGGGAGATTAGATCAGAAAAGACACTAGACTTTCCATCACATGTTAAACCTGATGTATATTTGGCTAGTCAAGTATGCAAAAGCACATTGCTCTTTCTATCACATGAACATATGACAAAGAAACTGAATACATGATTAAATATGAAAGTGACCTGTGCTAATAAAATTAGATCCCTTTTTTATGTTCTTCTTACACAGGTTTCAGTGGCATTGTCGGGAAGAATTCACTTTGCCTGACAATATTGGACATTCTAAAAGTAATTTAATAAATATGATTATATTGACTGACTCTTAAAATTAAGTGACATAAACAAGAGATATTGCTTGTGTATTGTAAGCATAAAAGAATTTAATTTTCCCAAATGAGTACAATTTCTGGGTCTTGACTATTCTTAAGGTCCTCTTGGTTAGTCGAATGATTAAGGAATAGGGAAGCAGCCTGTGCTGGAAAGCTTTAAACTCCATTTGAAAACACAGGTGCATAGCTTGGATTTGTCTCTGAGCCTGGATGCCTACGTTTAAGTGGTGGCCAGAAGTGCATTTGGACAGTGGAAACTAGTTTGCTAGCTGTGCCCATTCCTGGAGAGGTCGGATCTGGTCACAGTGACACATGCCTAAATTGCATACTGGTTGAATTACTGTAACATACTCTAATTGGGACTACCTATGGAAAGTGTTGTGAAACTTCAACGGGTCCAAAATGCAGCAGCCAGATTGCTGACAGAGGCTGGTCACAGGAATCATGTAACTCTCCTATTACAGCAGCTTCTTTGGCTGCCAATCTGTTTTGAGACACAAATCAACGTGCTGGTTCTAGCCTATAAAGACCTAAAAAGCTTGGGCCCAAACTATCTCAAAGACCATGTCTCCTATTATGAGCCTGCTTGTGTGTTAAGATCATTGGGAGAAGTCTTTCTCTGAGTCCCACCACCTTCACATTTGTGTTTGGTGGGGGACACAGGAGGCCTTCTCTGTTGCTGGTCCCAGACTTTGGAATTCTCTTCCACAGGAGGCCAGACTGGTCCCATCTTTGTAATATCTTCTGCAAGTGGGCAAAGCTTTCACTCAGTGACTGGCTTTCTGAGTGGGATTTTTAAATGGATTGTTATGTCTTACTGCTTTCAATGTGTTTTTAGTACTGTATTGTTTTTGTTCACCGCTTCCTAGAATGGTATTTGTTTGATCCTTATATTGAGTCTAATGAGATGGGTGTCTGGTATGTGTATATATTTTATCTCCCCACCCTCTCTTTCTCTGGATTCTTGTTCTGTAGATTCTTTCCCCCTACACACAGAAACCTGTTTCACATAATTTTAATTTACCAGGACATTCTACACATGATCTAAAAGTGGTCATTCTGGAAAAAAGACAGCTGAGATAAAATATATACACATGCTATACACCCATCTCAGTGGACTCAATATAGCCCAAGGCCTTTTAGTGCACCATAAAATATGAACACCACAATAATTGTACCCCCAGATCTATTTTCCTTCTCAGCAGATCCATCTGAAAAACCTCAAAGGTAAACCAGATAGTCTTAACTCATTGCCATGTTGCTCTTATGGTCTTCCATTGTCTGGGGGAATTC